TGGATGAGCAGTAAATTTCTGTGAAGGAAGGTGATCATGTCTGATGTCTGCGCAGCCGTCCGCTGTTTCCCTTTCTTTCAGTTTCTTATACCTGATGTTTCAGATTCCTCGTGTCCTATTGGCCTCTGGAAGGCACTCAGAGCACGGGTTAACGCGAGGTGACGTACAGTATTTGGGCCGGAGGCGTGCTGTGTTATTTTTGAGAGGATGACATTTTTCCTGCAGCCTCGCTCGCCGTCCTTGCGTTCCCCCTGTTGCTCGTCTCTGTGCCTCCGTTTCCTTATTATCCTCTCGTCTCACTGATGGTCTGTCTTTGCATTCTCTTATTTTTAACACTTCTCGTCTCGTCCGTCTCTTTTTCTTTCTGTCTCTGTAACAAGATGACCTTTTTAAGTGGGCCGGTGCTTCAGCGCCATCAGCTAAATTAAGGACAACACTTTGACACTGGGCCACACACACACACACACACACACACACACACACACACACACACACACAGAAAACCTTGTTGCTGTCTCTGCCTAGTTAGCTGTGACAGTGAATGGCTGTTAACAGGTCAGTGCCTTCAGAACACCTCAGGTTCTCCTCTGATGATACCGAGCTCGAAGGCCTCGTGTGAGTCCGTGTGGGCACGTGTGCTTCATCCTTCCCGATGCATGTCTGGTGTTTCCATCCCGTTGGTTTACTGTCACATCAAAGTGGGGCACAAACAGAAGAGTTTTCGGTTTAGCATCATGAGCGTTGTGTGAAGGTGAGACAGCGAACAGAGAGCGAGCGCTGACCTCAGCACAGGTGATGAAATGCTGCTGACGCTGGCAGAGGTCCACATCTGAGCGGGTTCAGTCAGTCGCTGTCACATTTTCTCCTTTATTACAAAGGATTTATTACATCAGGTTTCACATATAAACACACAAAGCAAAGCTTGAAAACAGCACAAAGACACTTTAGAGCAACACAAACTGAAATCAGCTCACTTTACCGTCAAGACGCAGAAAGAAATAATTATTTTTCTTTCTATCCGCCCGGCATGGAGGTAACTGAAGAACCTCTGCAATGACATAATTGTAGCTGTAATCTGATTACTGCACTCAGTGCAGTAACACAGTTACAGTATATATGACAGGAAATAAGGAAAACCTGAGCAGGTCTACTGTAACTCATGTTCAAATACAGAATGTGCAATACTTGTGTAAATGTTATCCAAAGGTTAAAGCGATGAATCACCTTAAACAGCGCGATGACAGCAGCTACCGAGTGCTGTGGCTTTTAAATGAGCAGCGGCCGAGCAGAGCTGTGAGGCGGTGCGACTGTGAAGAGCACATTTAGTGTTTATGGCCCTGGGCAGACAGGTAATTGAGCGAGTCCCGGGAGGCCGGACCAGCACCTCTGACCTGCTCCTGTCACATGCATGGCTGCCAACAGTTACTCTATTTGTCTACAGCCCTGTTATTCTCATTTCTTCCTGATTTTATAGGTTTCTCTCCCCCTCTCTCTGTAACACCGTCAGAAACATATTTAGACTTGAATCTGGTCCGCCGTGTTTTTCTATGTGATATTTGACCTAAAAGGTCTTTTGACAGCTGTAGCAGAATCCATCTCTGTTGAAAGAACAAGCAGCTAAAGTGCTAGCTAAGAGACAGCAGGGTTATTATGCATGATAGCAGACGGCTGCTTTCTTTCCCGACTGCCGGAAGCCTCATTTTCCGAGTGCACATAAGGCACAGACCTGCACACACACAGGAGCTGACATCTTGGCTTCTACGCTAATACCTAACATAGATTTTCTGCATCAGCATGCAGGCTGGCGGACAAGGGAAGAAGTGCATAAACAGGATACAAACCCACATGCATATATACATGTACACCAGGATGCTTAAGAACAAAACAGCCAAACACAAACTGGCATGAACACTTCCATTCCTCAGATAGACTCTGCTCTCCTTCTTCTCTGCTCTTTCCCCATTAAAACATGTAGCTGAATATGAATGAAATCCCCACAGTGTGAAGCCTTCCCTCAGTAGACTGCTGCAGCTCCAGCCACACTTTGTAAATTAAACAGTTTTTTTCCACACTTGCAATTTACATAAAAATGTTCCCCAGTCACTGGAGATATAAAGATTTTGTGACACAAAATACCTCATTACTTCCACATTTGCAGAAGAATAGGAGAATACTGTAAGCAGCATTTCGAGCTTGTAAAACTAAAATGGGGGAGCCTCGAGCGTCCACAGCAGCTTCCTTTCAAAGAGACGGCACCGCCGCTGCAAAAAGTGAAGCTTACTTGTACACTTGAAAAATGAAGGCACCCGCAGAGTAAAGCTGGAAATCGGCATCATATAACATGCACGCATGCTGTTACCCTGCGACTGCGCTGCAGCATAGGCAGCGGGTTTTTTCGTGGTCTTGATGAAGACAGAAGATGAATCTGAGGCTACTGAAGATGAAGAATGAGTTTTTATACAAATCAGATTCTGTATTCTGACAATGCAAAGCTGCAAGGTGCAAAGCGATGCACCAGATTTCCAACACTGGCTTCACACTGGTGCTGTAGCAAACCAGCCTGAAATACTAGAGGACAACAGTCCTTTATTCAAGAGGTTCTGTTTTGCTTTACTCACTCATTAGATTTACTGGAGGTGCCAAAACTACTTGGTCAGTCTAGGAAGAAGCTGTGGTTCAGGTTGAAAAAGCAGAAATGTTGCTGGAGGATAGGCCTGTATATCTGTTATGCCTGTTTCATGCAACTGCGTCAGATTAAGCAACTATACAGATATAGTTTCTTTCCATACCTACGCAGCTACAGCAGCAACAATAACTCCATCACTGACAGTCAACTGAGTTAGTGATGGAGCTGAACCAAGAACCAGCGTGCACATGTCACTATGCTCCAGAACAGCATGGTTTCCATCCATTAGGTCAAGCTTCACACAATAAACTGATCAGCTGCTGTGCATGGCACTCGCCTTCTTTGTGGGCCCAGGAAAGATTGGGCCTTGCCTTGTGTAACCTGTCTTTATAATTGATGCCAGCGGTTTTAAATGATGATTCTCTCATAATTATGTCGAAGGCCTCAATATGGAAATGTGAATTCTTAGTGCTTTAACCACTTTGGGAAGCCAAGCATGCAGAAGCTTGTTTTCCTAGAAAATGTTGGGTTTTAGTTGCTATGGCCACAGATGCAGAAAAGGAAAGAGGGCACAACTTCTTGAAGATTGCTGAAAAACCTCCACAGAAAGGCTGAAGATGCTTCACCTGCCCTTGGTTCAACGGTGAAGCAGTAGAGGTGCACACTGTGCACGTCAGGGTTCGGTGAGGGGGTACAGCCAGCTCTGAGACGCAGAACTCTGAACAATATCAATCAAAAGCCAATAAATATGTCAAATAATTTAATGGTCTAACTTCTTATCATCTCTTTTCTAATCTTAAAGCTGCACCCTGAAAAGAAGGGAATAGGAATTTAATATGTGCTTCAT